CAGGAAAACTAGGTTTGTCATTTAAAACAAATTATTTATGTTCTCCAGTCAGCCACTGATATAGCTTTTTAACAGTGAAGGTTTACTATAAATTCTAATATCCAGAAAAGAACAAACTGTATTATCCACTAGCTTCTCAGAGAGACATACTCTGTTGCACAAAAACACAGAAGAGTTCACTGTCCTTCATAAACACAGATACAGTAACATATCTTATACATATGCAAGAGAGTGGTTAAGTATCTAATTTACCAATGAGCCCCAAACAATGTTGTTAATGGAAATTTATATAAAATTTATTTTAAAATTTTCATTAAAAAATCGTGACATCTATAATAATCCAGAAAGCTTCTTGCAAAACAGGCAAACAAAAACCCCCAAACAAACAAACCAAACCAAACACCCAAATACCTACTGAAGCCGGTATTTTAGAATACCAAGGCAGCATTTTTTCTCTTGCCTTTGAATAAGCAGTGCACTGAAAATTCTTGGTATATACAAAACACTTCTAAAAACCTAGATTTGCTTCCTATTTGATACCTCTACAGCAGACCATAAAAGGCTACGATTTTATACAAGGGAAGTACCTGAGATGTCACCTGATGTTGATCAAAATAGGACAGTTGCTGTAGTTTTGTGAACACGGTCTCTAGGGTTGGAAATGCTTCTTGTTTGGTCTTCCTGGCTTTTTGCCCTTCATCCCCAACTTAACAGATAAAAAATTATTTTGGTCATTTTATATTTAATGGAGCCCTAGTAGTTTTGCATTATTACTGATTTAAAAGACGATAAAAATCTTAATAAGCTTTACTCATGACTACATAAAACCCTACTTGCCTCAGTTTTCATTATACTTGGGACAAATGTATGCCAGAGCATGTAGCAATATCAAAGCTACTTCAAGGTTATTCCAATGCAAAAAGGTGACACCCAAGAAAAACTGAAAAAGTCACCCAGTTTTACTAGGAGGGTAAGGAATATGTATCACTCGCTGGCCAGTACCTCATATTCCAGGCTTTAGCTTAACGCAAGTGTTTACAGCCGAGTTGTTATAATGGAAAATAGGGATTTCTAACCACAGTGGCCCTTTGCCGTCCTGGCGCAGCCGTAAGGCAGGCCAGCAGATTGCACTTCGTGCTGCGGGACTCTGGTCAGTACTTCACCTAGTGACTGTGAAGGGGATGAAAGCCAAATTACATGATCAACATGCATGGCTCCAGACAACCTGCTGAGCACCTCACAGCTCCCGTGATCTTTGCTACAGGCTACCATACAGCAGCGTTAAAGCATTTACCACCCATTTCAGTAGTACTCTTCTTATTCAGAATTTTGAGGATGTCTTTGGTAATCTTCTTCAGCTGATGCCTTGCTTCATCACGCTCCTTACCAACGCCATAAAGGAGAATCATTCGCTGGTTACACTCATGACTTGAAGATTCATCCTGAAAAGACCAGATACGAGTGAAGTCTCTTTTCTTTTTTCTGTCATCACCTGCAGAAACCCAACCCAAGTAGACTAGACTGCAATAAACAATAACTAACTCTTCATCACAAAAAGCATCTCCTGTGGTTATCAGTGTTGAGGAAACAGTGCCAAATGAAATCACTAAAGAGTAGGGTAAAAATACAGAGGGAAAAAATGTAATCTGATATTATGAATTCTGTATGTATCTATAAGGACAGTCAGACGACGCATACAGATGACCCTCCTAACTGTCCCCTGGACTGATATTTGGTAGCAGATTAGTAAATAGAAGACAGTTGTCTAGAAACTGTGTGACATTTCTCTTATTATGTACAAGTCCATTGAAAAAAAGATGCAGCCCAACTCCTAAAATTTTATTTTGCACATCTCAAAGAAATTGAAATATGTATAGTTTATTTAAATTGTAACTGGTTATATTTAGTCTTTTAATAAAAGGTATTGTGTAATGTTGATGCACTGTATATAACTTAAAAACTTGGAGCACTGCTCTGCAAGTCATGTAAGGTATAAATATTTTGTTCAGTAATATACTTACCTTCTCCAAACTAACCAATCACTACTTCTTTCAACTACTTAAAAAGTTTTTAAAAAATAAGACTGTGTACAAAAATAATACTAAAGAATCACAAGGCTACTACAAAAAAGTAGTAGACGGGAGCGCAACTCTACGCTCAGAAAAGTTGCGCAGTCTTACAAAATACATGCTCTCCTTTAAAAATAGTGACTCTGTTAGTAGGTCAAAAGCAGGAAGTAAACCTCTAATTATTTTTAAAAATTCTGTTTCTCTCTCTCTTCTAGAGGAAACAAAAGCAGAAGCACTGAGAGCATCACCTGGAATTTGCAGCTGTCTCTGGCTAAGAAACCAGTTCGAAGCCAGAGGAAGGTCTAAGTCTCAGAACTGGGATGCACAGCTGCTCCTCCAGCCTCTCCTTGCTCCGTGAGATTTAAACATGAACACTCCTGCCTACTCACACGGTGAAGAGCTAAAGGAACTGCAAACAACCCTCCATCAGCAACACTAGCTTCCCATCACAGGAAGTACCCAAGCGTTTCATCACTTCTCAACAGCACGCTACGGTAATCTCCGATTTTGGGGTGGGGGGAAGGTGTCTGATTTTGCATGCTTAGGGAATACTTATTTCATTAGGATTAGACTTGGCAGCTGAATCTGTTACGTGCTTCAAAGCATAAGCCAATTTATTTCTATCTTACAGATAGAAATAAAACTTTGCAGCTCTGTAAGGAAGATGTCAGGGATGTTTGTTTGACAAAGCATCAACTCCCTTGAGTGCCTTATTTTACAAAGGCAGAGATCATGCAGAAATATAGCAATTTTTAACAATTGCATCACTACACACGTGAAAGCTACTCCTTTTGAAACACAACACTCATTCAACATCCCTGCCTGGCTTTCCCAGGCAATCAGTTCAGATCAGACCTGATCTGATCAAGGTTTTCGGACTAAGAGCAACAGTCTTTAGCCCAGCCCCTGTTACCAGTTATGTGGATGCCAGCTGTTCAGTGTTTGTGGATGGATGGATGGCCGACACGCTCTTGGTTTCGTGGAAAGAGCGGGCTCAGAGGGGCGCAGCGCTACGCAGGGGTCTCAGCAGCGACTTCACGCAGGCACTCACTGCAGAGCACGGGAGGCTGCAACTCCTGTGCAACTCCTGCATGTTGGCTCAAGTCAGTGAAGTTTTAAATTTATTTGCGACACAGCACTGGTAAAGCAACAGATTTAGGAAAATAACAGGATAAACTGTCAAATTAGAAGTGAAGGTATACATGAATACCTACATAAATAAAGCTACAAATAACTTCAGACTTTGCTGGCAAATGTGTAACCACTGAAGTAACAGACACCGTTAGCTGTCCAAGTGCTATTACGCAGGGTTGAAGAGCAGGTACTCCTCTCTCACTTTCTTCCCCTTGGAAGCAACAAACAGTGACTTTATGGGGTGCCACATCCACCCTTTGAGTACCCGGGTGAAATGGTAGCAGCCTGTGAGCAGCTGTTCCCGGGGTCTGAGCAGGGGCAGGGTGGGGAAGGCAGAGATCAGCTTCAAGGACAACCGAAAGTGAGGGTGAAACAATAGAATCATAGAATAGTTTGGGTTGGAAGGGACCTTTAAAAGTCACCTAGTCCAACCCCCCTGCCATGGGCAGGGACATCTTCAACTAGAACAGGTTGCTCAGAGCCCCGTCCAGCCTGACCTTGAATGTTTCCAGGGATGGGGCATCCCCCACCTCTCTGGGCAACCTGTGCCAGTGCTTCACCACCCTCAGCGTAAAAAATTTCTTCCTTATATCTAGTCTACATCTACCCCCCTTTAGTTTAAAGCCATTCCCCCTTGTCCTGTCGCAACAGGCCCTGCTAAAAAGTTTGCCGCCATCTTTTTTATAAGCCCCCTTGAAGTACTGATAGGCTGCAATAAGGTCTCCCCAAAGCCTTCTCTCCTCTAGGCTGAACAACCCCAACTCCCTCAGCCTTTCTTCATAGCAGAGGTGGTCCATCCCCCTGATCATTTTTGTGACCCTCCTCTGGACCCGCTCCAACAGGTCCGTGTCTTTCTTATGCTGAGGGCTCCAGAGCTGGACGCAGTACTCCAGGTGGGGTCTCACCAGAGCAGAGTAGAGGGGCAGAATCACCTCCCTCAACCTGCTGGCCACGCTTCTTTTGATGCAGCCCAGGATACAATTGGCCTTCTGGGCTGCGAGCGCACATTGCTGGCTCATGTGCAGCTTTTCATCCACCAGTACCCCCAAGTCCTTCTCGGCAGGGCTGCTCTCAATCCCTTCATCCCCCAGCCTTGTATTGATACCGGGGGTTGCCCCGACCCAGGTGCAGGACCTTGCACTTGGCCTTGTTAAACCTCATAACGCCACTGGGAGAGACAGACGGCCAGCCAAGCAGAAATACAATAAAAAGGGGCATTTGATTCCTTTTACTTCAGCCTGACACTGTTAAATCTGCAGTCAAAACGAGTTTAAATGCTATCGCTTTCCACACTGAGGAAGATGCAGAAAGGGGACATTTCTCCCTCTTCCCTGGGAGGAGAAGGGCAGTTTGGTTTGGGCAGACATGTGACAGACAAGCGAAATGGCAGCCCGGCTGGCCCACATGCAGCACGATGGCCTCGCCACTGGCAGAGTGTGCCACCACAGCCTGTCCACCCCAGGCAGACCCACGTGCCGCGGCCCTTACCAGCTCCTCTCTGCCACCAGGCCATCGCCCGAGGCAGCACAGCTGGGTCGAGCCTGGTCAGGCCAGGGCCCGTGGCCCAGCTCGGGCCTCACCAGCTGTAACGTCAGCGGCAGGGCCACAGGGGCCAGGAGATCCATGTCAGGGCCCCCAGCCCTGTGCTGCACCCAACGAGAGCTGCACTGTCACCTACGAGCAGGGGAACAGGCGACACAATGCCAGCTGCGCCTCCCCTGCAGCCCACCGCCATGCCGGCCCCTTGCCCACTCCTGCAGCGCGGGTCTCAGGGAAGCTGTGTGGGAAGCTCAGGAGGTTAGGATGGAAGGTCACCTCAGCATTTCAGTCACGGAAGATCAAACCAGGCCACCTTACAAACATTGCTACATCTACTGCTCTTCTCCTGTAGAAACCTGACATCCTTGGTAAAACAAAACACAACTTACAGCAGTCAAAATCCCCAAAGAAAAGTTCCCAACACAGAAATTAAAAGTAGACAAAAAAGGCTGAAGTCTTATGACAGATATAACTCACAATTTCATTTTTTTTCTTTTTTGGTTTTACAGGGAGGGGGGAAAAGACAAAGTGCAAATGAAAGCCACAACCAACTTCAGCTACTCCAGAAACAACAGCAACTGTACCAGCGATAACAAAATCAGTCAAGTCATTTTTCCTTTGCTTTATACAGTCCTGTTTCTGGTGGGTATCACCATGAATGGCCTCGCAATGTGGGTCTTTTTTAAAATATCCAGTAAATCCAATTTCATCATCTTCCTCAAGAACACTGTCATTTCTGACTTCCTCATGATCTTGACTTTTCCATTTAAAATCCTTAGTGATGCAAAGTTGGTATCATGGGTACTGAGAGGATTTGTGTGCCAGGTAACCCAGGTTGTATTTTACTTCACCATGTACATTAGCATTTTGTTTCTTGGTCTAATAACTATCGATCGCTATCAGAAAGCCACTTCGCCGTTCAGAACATCAACACCAAGGAGCCTTTTAGGTGCCAAGATCCTGTCCACAGTGATTTGGATATCAATGTTTGCTCTTTCATTACCCAACATGATTCTAACGAATAAGAAGAAAACGCCTCAGAACGTAAAAAAGTGTGCTTTCTTGAAATCTGAGTTTGGCTTAGTCTGGCATGAAATCGTAAACTATATTTGTCAACTTATCTTCTGGGTTAATTTAGCAGTCATAGTTGTATGCTACATACTCATAAGTAAAGAACTGTACAAATCCTATAAAAGGACAAGGTGCACAGGAAAGGCATCCAAAAAGACTGTAAATCTGAAGGTTTTCATCATTATCGCAGTGTTCTTTATTTGTTTTGTGCCATTCCACTTTACTAGAATCCCCTACACGTTGAGCCAAACAAGAGACGTTTTTGAATGCTCTGCTCAGAACACCTTGTTTTACTTGAAAGAGAGCACACTGTGGCTGACATCGCTAAATGCTTGCCTAGATCCATTCATATACTTTTTCCTTTGCAAATCATTTAGAAAGTCCTTGCTAGACATGCTGTGCAAGCACACAGCATCGTCAGAACTCAGAGCACAGATAAAAGAGCAGAATGAAGGAGATGACACAGATGAGACACCGCTCTAGAGCTAAGAACTACCCATACCCCTTCTTGGCCACATACATTTATTGGTGGGCGGAAGCAGCACAAATCCTGCGGAAGAATATCTAGAATTTCACCGACTTCTTTAGAAATTGTCCTACAGATGAAGCACAAGCACCCTGGAACCAACATCACTGGTTGCAAAAATGGTGAAACTAGAAAGCTTGACTAAAACAAGAGCACCACCTGATCACAACCTTCATGCTTGTCAGAATTCCTAGGAAGAAGTTTGAACTTACAGTTAGAGCTGTAAGGAAAAATTAAAACAGTCATGAAATGCTACAGATGAGATTATGAACTGCATAGATTTTGCAGAAATAGCTTAACTTGGGCCAGAGTAAAACCATGACAACACAAGATCTGGGAAATGCAAATAAAATCCACAGTAAACGTGATTTTTAAATACAGGGAGTTGTCACCTTGTACGCAACTGGCAGACAAACAGAAATATAGGACATACATAGATAAGCTATTTATCTGTGCAGATTTTTGGTAACAGAATAACATTTTGCTTATCTCATTATATGCTTGTAATTCTTAATCCATTGACCAATAATTAACAGTTGTATGCCAGAGGAAATTATTTCCTAATCAGACTTATCTTGATGTGAATTAAATCTTCGAATACTTCACCTTACTATATGAATAAACAAAAATGTACACTTTTATAGAGAACAATATATTATATTAGAAAATATACAAAGACTCGATTTACAGAATACTTAGATCTTAGGGAGAGAAAGACTCATGGTAAAATCTTTACTGATTATTAAGGGCAGCTTTTTTGTACTATGCAAAAAATTCAACCACTTCCCCTTTTTCATTTGGAAAAGTTGAAAAAAAAAAAAAAACAAACCCCAGGGAAGTATTTTCAGGTGCATAACGTTTTTAGGTATCATGACAACCACACATGTAAAGGATCCTAGGCTTTTGTAATAAATTATGGTTCATTTATCATCACTGCAAAACAGTTCCAATTCAGAAATATGTTTCACCATCATGCAAGAGCTCAGTCCTGCCAAAAGTCATTGCCTGTCTACCCTTCTCCAGTACTTATCTGTGCCTGGCAGGGCACCGGGCGTTTTTACAACTGATACCCAATTTCCTAAAAAGTTAAAAGACAGTTCACTTGCTTTAGCACTCAGCCTTAGAGTTTATGCATCTCTTATAACCTGCCTGGATGAATTAAATATTTTTCAAAACGTTTCGTGCACTGCTTATGCTGGTATATGCACCAACACTGATTACAATCAGTAACTGGGTTATACCACAGAAAACAGGGCACCATTATTTCCCTGGAACCAGTGCTGCCAGTCACTCCAGAGCACACTCTCCACAACCAGCCCCATGGGGCCCAGGACTGATCAGCTTCAGCTGATGCCCAGAAGGGAAGCGCGAGATGCCCCATGTCCACCCAACGCTCCTTCCCCACATTTTTTGTACCTATACATGGAGAGAGAGCGGCAATTATGTGGCAGCTGCTTTTCCTGATCAGATGAGCTGTTCAGACAACAGATACTACAGCTATCTGTGTACCATACAGCAGTCACTGATAGGATATGCGAAGGCACTTAGTACCTGCCTCTTACAGTTGGGAACAGCGTCAAGAGGTCAGTTTGGAAGAAAACGTGGAAGATGCTGCCTTGGACATCAATCCTGGGGAACTGCAATGGACCATCTCAGCTTTATATCATCCTTGATGAATGAATAGAAGTCGGGTCAGGCAGCTAGGGGCATGTCATGCTGATGACAATGTCGAGGGTGACCTTCATCCCAGTCATCCTCAAGGCTCTTTGCTCTCTGCCAGCTATTTAACACCAACATCAGCATGCACACCTACCTTAACCAAAATGTAGATACTAATACACAAACTTACTGTCGATACAGCTGCAGCCTGAGAACCGCAAAAAGCAATCCATGTCTGCCCACAAAAAGATGGCTTGAATGTGAGCCATTTCCCACATGGCAGCAAGCAAGGAGCCAGAACCCTAAGTCACATCAGCTGACAGAAAAATACAAGACAAATCACATGACTCAGTTAAACTTATACAAAAGCTTCTGTTTACAGAGAAATGCACTAGATTCCAACATTATACATAATAAACACATAATAAATACAAAGTATACCATGCAGCAGCAGCAGCTTCTGCCAGAACCAGAAAGTGGCTGTAACCAGCACGCTGTATCACCTGGCTACACTGACACCAAAATAAACCAGAAATCCCATTCTGGAGGTCAAGATCAAGCTCTGGTTCATGTGTCAATATTAACAGGTTACAGAGGGAGGGTACAGTTTCTGAATATGTCAGTGCACAGGATTCTGTAGCCGAGTAACCCACTGTAAGGGTGGCTCTGAGCAGACGTTTTGGTCACACATTTGATGATGACTAGTGCTGTCCAGAACAGGGGAATTCACACACACAAACAAGAACTCAGAGCTACATTTGAGGATTATCCTGGAAAACTGTCAGGAAACACTCTGTTTGTTCATCCCACGTCTCTAAAGGAGCCAAATCATAACGGCACAGTGTAGGTGCCATCAGGTCTGCCCCACACAAACAAAAAGCCAGAAAATGTGCCTGTCTTGATGGATATGGTAATTTTTTTATTAGTATAGGAGAAGGTAGTGTACTTTCTGACAGAGAGCAAAAGGAAGAGAGAAAAGCAACAGCAAACATGATTAACAAACTCAGGCGATACATGAAAATGAGGAAGGAAACAACAACCAACACCAACAGAAAAAGTCTCGTCTTTCTACACATTTCCCCATTCTTAATACTTTGCTCGAGGCTTCTGTCAGCAGAGGAACAGCAGATGAACCGGAGATAGCCAAAGACCCCTCTCTGAAACAGTTGCTGCCAGGTTTGCTCAGGTACTTGCACAATCAGAGCGTTCATGTGGTGTGATGGGGCACTTGGTCATCTGGCTTTCAGATGTAAGAGGCTGATAACCAGCAGTATGCATCTTATTTTGAAAGTGTTATTTAAATCTGTGCTGAGAATGGAAAAATGGTGTGTGCTTGGTAAGAAATACCAGAAGTCACTTCCCCAGAAGCACCTTGCTTTTGGGCCACAACTGTAAAATTTCTATTCAATGTTAAAATACATTTCCATGTAAAGACAAATGGTGCTTTAGGCAATCTGCTGTTATACCTTGCTATTATATTATCTTAGACCTCCATAATGAATATATACCATTTTCGCTTTTTATTAATGTTAGTTTGTAAACAGCTTAAACTTAGGAAAATATTTAGATTTTCTATGAACTAGAAGAGAAATCCGTCGGTCTATTTAATGCACGTTCAGGTTTTGTATTTATTTGTGTAAACCTGCCAGTCACTGCAAGGAACATGCAATTTTAAATACAGAATGTTATGTTTTATGTTTTTTCTCTCCTTTTCACCCAAGTTATTTCAAACAATGGGCGACTTTGCGAACGAGAGTATTGTCAGTAACTCCACTGGAGCACCCTACTCTGCACCGTGCCACCGAGACACCACAGTCACCCACCTGGTCTTCCCAGTACTGTACACACTCATCTTCCTTCTGGGACTCGTACTGAACAGCCTGGCTTTTTGGGCTTTCTTCCATATTCCAAGCACATCAACTTTCATTGTCTACCTGAAAAATATCTTAGTTTCTGATTTTATAATGACCCTGATGCTCCCTCTGAAAATCCTGACGGACTCTGGCCTGGGACCATGGCAACTCAAAGCCTTTGTCTGTCGCTTCTCAGCCGTAGTATTTTATGACACCATGTATATTAGCATAGTGCTACTTGGTCTCATTGCTTTTGACAGATTTCTCAAGATTGTGAGACCTTTTGGGAAGTTCTGGGTGCAAAAACTGTCCTCAGCAAAGATTCTTGCGGGTCTGGTCTGGCTCTTCTTCTTTGTTCTCTCTCTGCCTAACATGATCTTATCGAACAAGAAAGCAACGCCCCAATCTGTGAAGAAGTGTGCCTCGTTGAAGAATTACTTCGGACTCAAATGGCACGAAGTTGTCAATTATATCTGTCAATTCGTCTTCTGGACTGTTCTCATCCTCATGTTTCTATTTTATACAATTATTGCCAAAAAGGTATATGTGTCTTACAAAAAAACACAGAAGACAGACAACAAAAGCGAACAAAGGATCAAGGGGAAAGTATTCATCATTTTTACTGTATTTTTCTTATGCTTTGCCCCCTTTCATTTTAGCAGGGTTCCCTATACTCTGAGTCAAACAGCCACCCGAATGGACTGCCGTTTGCAGAACCACCTCTTTGTCGCAAAAGAAAGCACTCTGTGGCTGGCTGCCACAAATGTCTGCATGGACCCCCTGATATACATGTTCTTGTGCAAACCATTTGTAGAAAAGGTTTTATGCAGGAGAGTAAAGACATTTCGGAAAACAGTTCATACAAATCCAAAAACAGAACTGATCACACGAATGTCTGCTACTGAATCTTGATTCTGCAGCTTCACGCTCTACAGTTTCTGCATATTCATAGAGAAGTTAACAAATAATTTGTTTTACTTCTGCTGTAGAAAATGAAAGGGCGGTTGTACTGTAATATTAATACTTAATAAAAACAGCACAATGGATTTCCCTATTTATGCTCACTGTTTAGCCTTAATAGGCAAAAAGCTGTCACTCAAACTGCCGGCCCCAATCTAACACCGATCTTCCCAAGCTGTGCTCTCTCATTGACACCACCATCATTAATCAAAGCTGTGGAAGCCCAGCCGTGTCTTGGTTGTGCCTGCCCAGCCACAGTACTGCTACACTCACACCACAGAGATCTGTATTACCTCGGAGTCACTCATGCAAGTTCACAGACATAACCACATCGGTCTGAATAGAAAAATAGCACTGATCATGCATAAAACTAACAGAAATCAGTTTGTAGTCTTGCATTTCTGTGCTGGCTCTGCAAAGCTAATGAGAACAGAGGTTTTTCTGATTTGGTCACTAAATCATGTCCACCTCATAGAATACAGACA